ACCCCTTTCCCTCATTCTGGTTTAAGGTGGAGAGGGTGTGTGTCCCCCTCCCTAATCTAGTGGCTGTAGATGAGGGATAGGAGGTTGCTGTAGTTGTCCATGGTGCCTCCCCCAGACTCGCCCTGCTCATCCCGTTGCAAGGGTAGGGCTGGGTCTCCATTCACCAAAGCGGATATGGCTTCTCATTAACCCCTCAGATCTCTGAAGGATATGGGCCTAAATGAATGTGTCAGGGGAGGCTTGCTGGTGGGTTAGTGGTCCTCAGGATGTGAGAGAAACATCCAGAACATGAATGGAAGTTGGACTGGGAGGTGGTGGGCAATGAACAAGTTTGAGGAAAGGATTGGAGCTGGGGCAATAGGAAGGGGCCTGGGGCCATTGGCTGCACTAACTGGTAGCTGTCTAGACTGTGTGCGTCTAGAGTGGGACGGGTAGGACCCAACCTGGGGCAGGGCTGCTTGGGGCTTGGCATAGGGGTGGAAAGGGCTACTTTGGGGCTCTGACCACAGTGTGTTATGTGTGGAAGGTGCTCTCCTGTCTCCCACAATTTCTGCTGTAACAATAAACTGTAGAGGAATCTGAGCACCATTACTCTTTGTCCGACTATACCTGCATCATGCCCCTTTCCCACCCTCTTCCTGACCAACTGTCACATTCTCTTCTCAAAGTGACATAAACCATGGGAGGGGGCCTGCAGAGCATAGACACTTAACAAAATGTGACTACATAATACCTATTCAATAGATTGGTGTTGTCCTTGATATTCATAGTATCTTTACATTTTGGGAGAGGAACTACTTAGACCTTAGAAGACTTCCTTATCAGTTATTGAGAAATGCCTTTGGATTTCAGAGATGTCACCAACATCATGATCTTAAGGAAGTACAGAAAGCTGAAGTGCCCAAGGACATCTTGTGACCTGCCTTCCTGCAGGATCCTCCTGGGGGTCACCGAGATTCCATTTTAGGTGATCTCAGGGAGTTCGGGGGTCAGTACAATCAGCAGACCAGGCCTCATGTAGTCACTATTGGGCGTGGGTTGCTCATACTTGATCCCAATAAAGACTCCTTCAGATGAGTCCCAGCAGCAAGGAGGGTTTCCTGTCAGGAATTCCTCCTCCCCCATGAGTCCCAGAATTCAGCGAGTTAGACAGTGTGGTTCTCTGAGAAGCTTTCAAGTATGAATGATAATCATCAAGAGGACTTGATATTTTGTGGCCATTGCAGGCTGATTCTGGGGGTCCTGGGGGCACAAAAGTAAAAATGAGAAGGCTCTTTATAGCGTCATTGACCAGAGGACTGTGGATGGAATACTAAAGGTCTTTGCCAAATTACTTTATAGAAACCCTACAGGCAAATTATACACTTTCCTCAGTGAAACTGAGCTAACGACTAATGCAGCTCGATGTCGAGTGCTGACACGCTGACATGGAAGTGGGGCCTGGAACATGTTTGTAGTTCTTGAGCGTTTCATCACTCTCAGGGCTGAGTCTATTCTAAATGTAGTAGGCGAGGATCAGAAAGGGTGAGGCTGTTGGGTGACCACATGCAGGGTAGGCAGCAGGTGCTTAAATGCCACACTAAAGAAAAGAAGCTGTGTAATCGGAAACATTGGCCAACTAGCTCCTAGGTAAACAAAACATGAGGAAAAGGCAAAGAACTCCAACCAGCAGCAGCCTTGACTGGCAATAGCTGTGCCTTATGGAAGGGAAGGCGGGTCTTAGCACACTCATCTGCACAGATAACACTGTTAGCAGGGTAATCTTCAGAAGAGGGAGAAAACCTCAATTCTGTGCACATACGTGAGTGCGTGAGTATGTGCCTCTCATGGAGGCGGTGTGTGAAATGGGTGGTGACCATGTGTGTCTCTCCTATAGATGTCCCTGCATAAGAAACCCATGAATTAGGTGGAAGGAGAGATGCTCTCTGCTGGGAGCAAAGGAGGGGTTTGCTGCCCTTGACTGATCTCTTCTTAGTCACTCCAGGAGAGCCCATGGGGACGCAGTGCCCCCCTGTGGTAGCCATGGTTCTTCCTAACTTTCCCCAGTTCCCAGTTCCCTTTCTGAGTCTCCCATGTTCTTTGTGATCCTACACAGAAGCTACATAGGGAGGGCCTGATTCCATGGTCTGTGGCTCCTGCCCACCCTCAAGATCAGAGCTCGGGGGCTCAGAGGAGAGGTGGGGTGACTTCACAGAAGCTGACCCACAAACCCCACTTTTTGTCTCTGCTTCAGGCTTAGGCCTCCTGGTTCTCTCTTCTTCTCATTCTCAAGGAATGTGTTCCCCTGACTTTAGGGACAGAAGTCCAGGAGAGCTAAGAGAGGGTTCAATGGGAAGGAGAATAAAAATAAAGAATATAGTGACGCAAGCCTTGTGGTGTCTGCGTGAAAATTGTGGAACTCGTGAACAGGTTTTCAAGGGTAATTCTCTGAAGGTACACAAACGGTGAAACTGTAGCAGGAGGGATGGATAAATACAAAGTAAAAGTAGAAAGCATTGAATATTTGACATTCAATAAATCTAAGGATAGTATCTCAGAACAAAATTGAAATAAACAGGAAATAACTGAAACTGCAGTCTAAGCATCCTCACAGACTGGACCTAGGGCGCAACCCCCGTGTGCACCCCTTGTGTTTCACCTTTGCGCGTGGCCATGGGCTCCTCCCTTGGGTCACTGGGGGAGTGTGAGTGTCTGGCTGGTTGGCACACCCACATGTACCAACCCACTCCAATTCTGGCCACTTCCTTGTATTTTATCAACCAGAGCCAGGAACCAGGGACTGAGTCCCATGGTGAGGGAGGCAAGACCCTGGAAAACTGTCCTTCAGGGGAGGGGTGAAGTGGAACGAGTTATCTCAGAAGAGTTCATTGGGAGCTCTTCGGGTTTTGTCCTGGTTGTATCTTCTTCTCTGACTGAACTCCCACCCTGCTCCGGGATACTTGCTAAACTCTGGTTTCTCTTTGATGCTGTTCCCCATCTTCTTGTCTTCACAAATTATCATCTTACAACTGCAATATCCAAATCGAGCCCTCAGCTTGTGAGCAGAGGAAAGATGGAGGAGCTCCAAAGAATTGCTTCAGAGAGCCATTTATTGGTTCAAAAATGGAAACCTGGCTCTAGGCGGGAGGACAGTCGGAGGTCTCTTCTTCCAATGTCATTTTTTTCCTGTTTAAATATAGAAAAAAATGTGTGGGGGTGTAGAATGCAGGATGGGGAAGGGGCACAGGGGCTGAGGAGACTTGGACTGTTCCACATAAATTCTCTTGTGACTATTCCAATGAGCTTGTCCTCTTACGCTTTTTCCCATGCTACCTATCTTCCCTCCTACTTTTATTTCTCAACACTCAGGACTCTGATTTTTTTTCAGTTACACCCTGTCTCTCAAGGCTGAATCAAGGTGTGCTCCTGATTCTGGCTTCCAGTCACCACTGCCCAGCTAACTCAGCTCTCCCTCCTGTCCTGTGGTTGTCATGCCTGTGATTCCCTCCTTCCTTGTTTCAATCTCACAACCACACTCATCTGCTCCCTGATAGCCCTCTCTGGCTCCTTGCTGGGGATTCCTAACTTTTGAAAATGATCAAGATTGTTCCTTTTCCTGATGCTGATCTCTCCGTGGAGCCACTTCCTAGCTTTATTCCAGCTTTTGATATAATATGGTTCGAACTAATGGTGGTTCCTGTCCTGGTTGGTAAGGATCTTGGGAAAGAGAAAGGAAATGGTTGTGGAGAGGACAGAGAGCATTGGTGGCTGAAAGCAGAGGTGGCTAAAGGAGAATCTAAGGGCTCCTGGGTCGGGAGGAGGCAAAAAGCATGACTCATTGGTGCTTGAAATCTCTTGACCTCTGCTCATTTACCTCAACTGCTGATAGCATCAGTGACCCAGAAACACATGAAGAGTCCTGGAGTCTAATGTGCTTCTCCTCTAGTCTCCTGTGCATAGTCATACAAATTCTCTGTACCAGAGATAGCCCTTTAACATCCATATAGTTGTGCCCCCTCTAATGCGCCCCTCCAAAGTCTGACCTGTGCTTCCTGAGGCTGATCTACCGTCAATGCACCAACACACATTTTGTGCTTTGGCTTCTGTTTGGGCGTGGCCAATGAGAGACATGGCAGTAGATCCAAGAGTGGGAGAGTGAAGAGTTTACTCTGGTTTCCTCCTTGTGGAGCCCCTGCAGGCTAGTTGTAGCTCCCTATCAAAGGCCAGTGCTCTCAGTGCATGCCCCTCTCGAGTTCCCGGTAACTGCGCCTTCTCTTCAGCCCACGGAAGAGCATTGCTCTTACCCAGCCCCAGGGTGTTAGCTGTTCCATCCTAACCCTGCCCACATCTTCTGTATGTTCCCTTTGTAAAACTTGCTCAATGATTCAACGTGCTCTCCACCTTCTCCAGACACCCTAACAGCTGGGCTTCAGACAATTAAGTTTGCTAACTCATCCTAGAAAAGGCGCTACATACCTCATTGCTGAATATCACTATGGTCACCTTTGAAGTACTCCCCTTGGGAAGCTATGCACAGACACCAGCACCTTGTCCACCTTCAAAGCAATTTTAGAGCGCTTCCTCTGGAATGGCCATCAGATCTGTCGTCGTATTACCCTTGATGTCCTAAATGTCATCAAAACGTCTTCCTTTCAATATTTCTTTTATCTTTGGGTAAAGAAAGAAGTCATTGGGGGCCAGATCAGGTGAGTAGGGAGGGTGTTCCAATACAGTTATTTGTTTACTGACTAAAAACTCCCTCACAGGCAGTGCCATGTGAGCTGGTGCATTGTCGTGGTGCAAGAGCCATGAATTGTTGGTGAAAAGTTTAGGTCGTCTAACTTTTTCACGCAGCCTTTTCAGCACTTCCAGATAGTAAACTTGGTTAACTGTCTGTCCATTTGGTACAAATTCATAATGAATAATCCCTCTGATATCAAAAAAGGTTAGCAACACTGTTGCAACAAGTTCGCGAACTTAATTGTCAGACCTCATATAAGATGGGAGGTACAGGTAAGGTACAGGTGGAGAAGGTAAAGATCAGAAGAGAATCTATATATTGAGCTTCTCTTAGAGTCACAGAAACATGGGTTTAAAGCCCAGCTAGCTATGTGCTCAAGTTAAATCTTTCCTGCGTGCATTTCCCTGGACTTACAATGGGGATGGTCTCTACCTAGCCAAGTTGGGAAGGTGAGATAATGCACGTGGAAGCAACAGCACAGTGCCCGGCACATAGTGGTGCTCAGTGTGGAAACTATTATGATTACAGCACAGGCCCTATTCTAAGTGTGCTGCGTGTGAGTGCGTTTAATACCGAAGGGAAGCAGGATAGGATGGTGCTTCAGGAAAATGATTTCCTGTGTTGGACATTTTTATTTAGTTCTGCCTTTAGTTTGGCTTCTCACTGATCCCTAGGTGTGTAAGCTGGGCTTGTGAGGAGGTTTGTATATCTTAATTTGTGGGGAGGGGAATGGGATGAACAGAGACAGAAATGAAATGAGATGAGAATAAAACTCAGGAGACCTTGCTCATGTTAAGGCCACTTGGGCTTCTACACTGACAATATGCAAAGGGGCAAAGTGGTGAGGGTGCCTGACTCACAGGGCACACCTCACACCTTCTCTTCCCGTTTCTCCACCAGGTCTCCTCCATCTCATGGGTAAGGGCCTGGGCAGCAGTCGTCCTGCTCCTCAATTCCAGATAATCAGTTTCTGTATTTGTGCTGTTTTTTAAGAGAAGCAACACATTGTAGGGATTATTCAACTGAAAGACAAATGGTCCAGTGGGGTGGGACCAGAGGCATAGTGACAGGTAGGGCAGGCAGGAGGAAAGCCACTTGGCAGAGCCAAGTAATCACCCTCAGCATTTATCTGGCGCCTTTCTTCCTCTCCAAACACACTGCTCTTTAATCCCTCAGCACAAGGCAGCTAGAAGGAGGCAGAGGCTCAAAGAGCAATCGTGCCCCGAGGCCACACCGGGCTCAGTGTGAAAAATAGGAACCAATAGGAACCAGATGGAGGTAGGCTCCTTGGAGCCTGATCTCCAGAGTCGCTTGGACATGTTGGGGGAGGCTGATAACAGGTACTGGGAGTGGGGTGGGTGAGGTTAGTGTAGGAAACAATCTAGGTCCCACGTTTATGTTTTTAAACCTCTTCTCTCTAAGTGCTGGGAACTCTAGCTCAGTATTTCAACACCTGTGAGTAAGGTTGGAATTCCAGCAATGTTCCCATGTCAGGGGAACATGGCTGCAACTGACAAAATGGCTAGGGGCCCTGATTCCAGAAGAAAAGACTTTGTGTAACACTCACCCTTCCCACTCGCCACTCCACCAGGCGGCTCTTAGGAAACCCGAAGAGATGAATGAAGCACAGCGTGGCTGAAGGGAAGGGTAAAACGACATTTTATTGCACAAGGTAGCAAAAATGGGACAAGAGTCAAATCTGGAATGATGGTCTTGATATCAGTTCTCCAAGGTATAGGCACTCAACCTAAAATTAACACCCTTTTCTCAGTCCTGGGTGAGCAATGGGATCTCATGTAGGAAAAGCTGGGGTCCAGTTCATGGGGACGAAGCCTAGTGAATTTCATTAGTCTCAGGAGGGAAATGTCTGAGGGCCAAAGCCATTTGGGAGCTCATTCCAGAGGAGTCCATCAGAAAAGTCAGGAATCGCTCAGGCCCACAATGCAATAAAGGCCATGAACGCAAAACCAGCGGCTACACAGCCCCACTTGGCCAGAGGGGCCTCAGAGCCAGCTAGCTCCCGGGGCAGAATTTCTAGGAAGGTGACGTACAGGAAGGTGCCAGCTGCCACGCCTTCTAACACAGCCTGGGCTAAGCCTTGCCCCCCTTCAGAGTCTCCTCCAGCCACAGCCAGTCCGAGGGCTACACCCAGGGGGGACATGAGAGCGAAAGACAGTATGGAGAACGCAGCCCATCGTGATCCAGTGCCTGTCTGCACCAGCCGCAGTCCTATCCCAAACACTACGAGCCCCTTGTGAGCCAGGACAGCAACACAGAGCTGCACGGTGGCCGCTACTGTCGTCTGCAGCCCCACGGCTAGCCCTTCAAACACCGAGTGAAAGGACAGCGACAGCAGGAGGACGAGCGCTCGGAAGGGACTGCGTGAGGGTGAGGGGAGAGGGCCATGGCTGTGGAGTCCAAGGACATGAGCCCCGCCGCACTCCTCCTCCTGCACTTTTGATCCTCCAGCAGCTCCAGGGCGGCACTGCAATGCCAGCGACTCCAAAAGGAAGACCAAGAAGAAGCCCAGGGAGATGATGAGCTCTCCATAGGGATAGTCCTTCTGGGGACAGAGAGAGCGGCTGTGAGACGGGAAAGGAAGGAAGAAGGACAGCGGATGGACGTGGGATGGCGGACTGAAGAGAACGGGCAATGTGGGACCAGAGCATAAAAAAAGGTTGGGGAATGAAACCCAGAGGACATGCAACAGATACCAGAGGACCCAGGGACACAGTGTCAGTAGCAGGACAGGAAAACGATGTGAACCATGTCAGAGGGTGCAAAGGAAAAACGAGAGACCGAAGCAGGAGCTGTCTGGGGTTCCATAAACCCAGAAGGATCGGGTCAGCTCCTCTGTTCCCCAGGGTCTAGCTGAGGAGCAGAGAGATTCCTCACATCCTCCCCTCGGAAGGGTCTGGGTATGACAGAGTCTCCGGTTTTCCTCACCCTCCAGGTAGGGGCTGGTGGGAGATACTTACATGATCTGAATTAGCATCACCAGAAAAATTTCCCTCACTTTCTGTCCTGTTCTAGGGAGAAAAAAGCAGAAATGACATGGGGCATGGAGCAGCTCAGCTTCCTGTCCTGTCTGTTCGGCTCCACTGCTTTCCTTTCCTTAAAGCCCAAGCTGAGCTGTTGTCATCATTCTACACAACACAGAAGCTGTCATCTTCCCTGTCATTCCACCCTTGTCCTTGGCTCCATCACTTTCCCCCTTCTTCCCTTGCTTCTGTTCATCATTCTGGCCTCCCAGGCCCATAACTCAGCTGCTTACCTGCACCATGAACTTCTGGATCTCGGATTCAATTCCCTCCAGGGCTTCAGCGGTCATGTGCATGAACCCTGCTCCCAGGAAAACACCAGCAGAAATGCAGCCCAGGAGGCTGAGGACCCGGTGGTGACGACCTAATGAAAAGCAGGAGTTACAATCCGGTTGGCAATGAGGAGATGGACAAAGGTGACTAAAGAGCAACAGACAGCACCAAACATCCCAAGCTTGGGGATGGCGAGAATCAGAGCAAGGAGTCAGGATAGTGGGATAGGGGTAAAGTCAGGCTTAGGTTATGGGGCAAGGATGAGGAAGGACTATACCTGTGGCTCCCTCGATCTGGAACCATTTGAAGTAGATGGGAATAAGGCCACAGACTAGGGTGAGAGCCAGCAGAGCGAACAGGCAGCCAATTTTTGCTCCTAATAACGGCTCCATTCCTGGGGTACAGGATAAGCAGAGGCCTCAGAATGACAAATAGAGTTACAAGCTTTGGAGCAGGAGTGGTGCCTGAGGTGTTCAGAGTGGCAGTGTCCACTCCTGAGATTCTGGAGGCTGTTGTGATCCTCTCTCTGTTCTGTGCTGCCTCTGCTTATGCAGCCTTGCATAGCTGATTGGGGCCCTGCCCCAGCTTCCAGCCCTCCCCTACATGGAGGCCCCTCCCCTGCTCACACCAAAACCAGAAAGTCCAGACTCCCTGTCAGGCACAGCCCTGTGCTCTGTCTTCTTTGGTTCCGTGACTAATCCAAGGGCTGTGGACTGTCTTAGTTCAGGCCTGGGGCTGGCCTGATCCAGTCCATGGTAGCTACTTCCCAGTTGTTTTGTGTTGGGGACAACCTGGTCCTACTTCGCTCAGGACATTTGATCTAAGCCTTCCATACCCTCTCCACTCCAAGTCTTATAGATTGCTATGCTGATACCTGAACCGTACCCTTTCAGAGGGGATTTGGGGCCACCTGGGGGTAGAGGAGGTGGGGCTGAGAGGTGGTGCTGCCACCACGCTGAGAACTATTAATAATAGATGAGGGGACTCCCCTTTCCTGTAACCCCAGAAAAATAGCTCCAGGTATGGAAATGTCTAGTGGGGCGTTGAGATTTCCAGTCTTACAACATTGATATTGTTACAACTTCTGACTGTGCCTGTTTCCTGACATATTATACTGTGTTAGAACAACTGAGAGTTTTAATACAAAGAAAGTTGCTCTAGCTCTGAAACAGCAAGGCCTAAGGGGAAACTGAGAAATGAGCCAATTACATGGAAGGACTCTGTCTGGGCAAACGGGTGGAGATGAAGGCGCAGTCCTGATGGGGATCGCGTCTTGAGGGAAATGTATGAAGCAAACTCTGGGGGAGCTGATAAACCCTGAGAAAGACCAAAGGGAAGGAAGGAGGCAGGAAAAACTTGAGGCTAGGGAGCTGCTGGTCTCCTATTCAGGTGGCCTAACAGCCCTGAGGCCTGCTGAGCCAGTTCTCAGAGTGCTGGGGGCGGCTGTCCCCACTAGTGCAGGTTACTCCCTGGGAAGTTCTGGTCTCTGGTAGAAGCAGCATTCTTACAGGAGAGGGGGAGCTTGAGATCTGTGTGGGAAGATAGGCATTGAAAACCTGAGGAGTCACTTCATCACAGGACAGGCCATGACAACTGACCTCTATACCTTTTAAGAATCACAAGATCCATTTCCATTCTTAGAAAACTTTTAATTATTAAAACTTCAAACACACACAGATACATAGGGGTACCAGCACTCCCATCCTGGATACCAGGTAGCTCTAGCCTTGGCAAGCACCACAGAAGAAAACTCTTGGTACACATCCTTGTCAACTCTCAGGGGAGTCTCTAGCAGGGGACGAAGGAAGCTCAGATGGTGTGGTCACAGGTAAAAGGTCTCCCCAGGAGCTGACACGGGCACAGCGATACAAATCCCTATGGAAAAAAGAGGTCAATGTGGGCTGCAGGTTCCTGCCACCTCCCAGTAACTTTGGTCACAGCCTCTATACCTGCCGTGTCGGCGGGCTGTGATCACAGCATGCTGCATATGCCCATCTGGACAGCACAGGTGACAATGCACATGGCGTGGCCGTTTAAGGACAGGCTGAGTGATCCGGCGACAGCGATTAGCCTCCTCTGGAGACCCTCGGGCAAGGATCCCCATCGAGAACTTTTCCTCCTTTGGCTGCTTGTTCTGAGATAAGGAGAGAGAAGCTGCTTGGAGGAAAATGATACGGGGTAAAAAAATTTTGAGCCTCAGTGCTGCAGCACTTTCATATTCTACGTCATGCACATTCAGGCCCTCAAATCTCCAGGCTAGTCTCTGAATTTTCCAACTCCTCCCACATCTGATTCTTTGTCATCTGCCTTCAGTCTATTTTCTCCCTGCTGCAATGTTCCCAGGGTACATACCCAGTTAAAGGGGATGGGATGGTAAGCCTGGAAAAAGCTACAGGCTAGGGGCTTAGAGGCTGTCAACTGTGGACACGGAAGTTCATGAGGACACTGTAAACACACATAAAAGACACAAGGTAAGACAAAAGAGCCATAGATCATAAAACTGAAAAACTAGGAGTTAAATGGTCAGGAAGGGATAAGGGAGCACAGGAAGCGGGGGGCAGGGAGAGCAGGGGAACCACTAAGAAATCCGACAGGGACATAAAGCAGTGGAGGGTGGCTTAGCTTTGCCCTGTCACTTGTCCTGTCACAGCTGAGCTCAGATAGAGCTGGGAAAAGTAGAACTAATACTCACTGGGGCAAAGACAAAACCAGGTTGAGGATCCAGAGGTGACTTCTCCTTTCCCTGAAATCAAAGGAAACCAAAGAAATTAAGCTGGGCCGGAGGGGTCTATTTTTATGTCAATCTCTGCACTCAGTCAGTTGCGGACTCCTTTAAATTCAATTCTGGTAATTATTAACTATGTTCGTTGAGTTAAGCTGGCTGCTTCTCTAATACTCCAAACAAAGAACTTTCTCTTTGCAGAGGGAGAAAGGCAGGAACTTGGCACATAGGATGGTGCTCTCCTTGTCAGCAACCTCCACTCTCAAACAAATCCCACTCCAGGACAATTAAATTTATGCTTATACACTGCCTCATACAGTCCCAAAGAGAGAAGGTTCTTGGCTCAGTAATGTCCTAGATCAGGGGTTGACAAACTTTTTTTTAAAAAGGCCCAGAGAATAGACAAAATCTGTCTCTGCCCCAACTATTCATCTCTGCTGTTTGTAGCATGAAAGCAGCCATACACAAGAGACACTGATATGACGCCAAATAAGCCTGGCTCATAGGAACACAGGTGACAGGCTGGATTTCATCCACACGCCCTCGTTTGCCAACCATGACCCTATATTATATTGACTTCATAGGCCTACCATCCTGACAGTCATCCTTACCATTGTACGACAGTCTCTTCAGTTTTCAAAGGAGTACCAGTAATTGGTGACAGGTAGGTGGAGGGAGGGAGGGAAGAAGGGAAAGAACCTTACCTTAAGGACCAGGTCCCTGGCTTCCATGAGAAGGCCGTGCCCAGCTTTTGTTCCATTTTCCACCAGTATCTGTTCACAAAAGGGGAAAATGAGCAAAACCCTGAACTACATGAAAACAGCAATGTCCGTAGCTCTGTAAGAACATTCACAGGTGGAATAGCAGTCCTAAAGGAAATGGCATTCCATACAAGATGGGGATGGAAGACCCTAAAAGAAGGACAAAGGATTCTATGCAGGAGAAAAGTGGTAAGAATGAAGACAAGCTCCAATGGCTGGAAGGAAAGGCATGGAAACCATGAAGCTGCTTTAAAACTTGAAGGGAAAAGGGATTTCAACTCACCAGAAAATCACTTGTCTTGCGCCACAGGGTCTGAACGACCTCAGCGCGCTCAGCCTTGCTGGGCAGTTCACTCAGGGAAAAGGCTGAGACCACCACATTGAATTGTACCTGAGGACCAATACAAGGAATATGACAGACTCGACATCTCCCCCTTCCAGGAGCACAACAATCTATCTCCCTAAATTTCTTCTGCTGCTTTTTCTCTTCTGACACTCACTGCTGCGTTCCAAAGCTGAGGCCACAGTTTTCCATCTGCCAAATCCCACATTTAACATATTCTACACATTACCACTTGCCTTAGGTGATACAGGTAGAAACTGTCTATAAAAGACACCTGGAACATAAGGTTCTCCAGATTCTGAACCACCTGTGGAGGAAAGCAGAGATGGGGCAACTATGAGTGCACAGGTATAAACTGAGGTGATAGCCTTATGAGACACACAGCCCCGAGAATAAAGAAAAATGCTAGGTGAGAGTGAGATGCAATGGAAGTAAGTAAACATTAAAAAAGGACAGGGAGAATATTGGGTCACCTGTCCCGTTAATGTTACCCAACCTATCCACAGTCCAGCAAAGGCCTCCACCACTCTGTTTGACCATAATATTGGAAGGAGACCACAGTCATCTTTAACTTTTAGCCCTCTCCTTTACTCCTGAATATAACACTCTTTCTAGTATTACTCTGCTTTCTTAACTGCTTCAACTTTGTAAAGCCCTTCCTTGTATCTTGTCCTCACCTTTCAGTAGCTTTTCTGCCAGATCCAGCATGGCAACCGAACTGTCCACACACATATATTCACGTATGCTCTGGCCCCAAATACTATGAGCAGCCCTAAGATGGCAAAATATAAATCACTAGTTCTCATGACAGAGAGTCATTCCTACAAGAAATCCCTCTACCACCAACCACACCCCTGGGAAAAGAAAATGTTATGTTAAAACAATTGGAAAAACTAACAATGTTATCTTCTTACTTCATTTACAACTCCTTAAAAAAAAAAGGCAGACTCAAAAACTACTTGTAAACAAAAATTTTGATGATATATAAAACTTATGCCCTAGACTAAATTCATTTCCTTTTTATCTTTCTAAACATGGTCCTTTTTCACTTGACACTTAAGTTTGGCCCTAATCCATATACCTTCTCATTGTATAACCTGAGGGAAGAACCATTTTAGTTCCCTACTTTCTTGTTCTTGGTTCCCCAGTCTCTTGATATTGGAGTGGTGTAGGCATGGATCTCTAGAACTAGAATGGATATATATATATAAAGATACTCACCAGGTGACAGACCCAGTACCCGATCCAAAATCCATCAGGGTTTGTGGTTGGAACTCTGGAATTTGAGTCTGGATCTGAAGAAATATACAATAACCCACTGTAGGGTAAGCAGGCATTTATTTAGGGCCTTGGTAAAATATGATTAGGAGACCATGACAGAGCAGATGTGAATGTCTTTTAAGGTTCAATTTAAATACTTTATAGAATAGAAAGCTCCAGAAACAGTGATTTTAACCCTTTCTTGGGTCACAAAATCCTTTTAGAAGATTAACAGAACCCCTTAAAAATATGCACATTCAATGTTCCCAAGAATCCTACCCCAGGAGGCTACTTTATGAATAAGGGAACTGATGGTAAAATGGGTCAGGTTGGAAGCTGAGGGGCTTTCACCTCATGGAATGCCCTGGAGACTGCTGCAAAGCCACCATCCAGTCTTGCTGCCATATACACCAGGCTCAGTCCCTCACTGTACCTGCCAGAAAAATCAGAGAGTCATACCCACTGGGAAATAACCTCTATTCCCTAGCTGCTTCTAGATTTTTAGGAAATGAAATCTTTGGAAAGAGTCCTCCCATGTCAGCACTTTCACACTACAACACAGGAGAGTCCTGGGGAATGTTACAAACCAGGTAGTTTTTTCAAACACAAAATTGTGTAATTGTACTTCTCCAACTCTCCTTGAAAAGTCAAACTTTTCTTTCTTTTGTAGCCCGTCTAGTCCCCCTCACCTCAGTTCTTGCCAGTGGTAGGTAGTTTTACGCAGGGCATGCAGCACTGCTCCACGAAGTTTCTCCTCTGTCTGAGATGAGTCTGGGGTGAGAACAAGGACTGGAAGTGAGGACCTAGGAAGAACAGGGCTCAGATCCAATATTTGAATTTATTGCCTGCCCATTCTGCCCCAACTCCCACCCAGAAAAAGCCTCAAAGTTTAAGAAGGAAGCCAAAACTAGAACAAAATTTCAGGTAAGAATAACAATGACCACCATCAGTACCACTAGAGTGTTTCAGACAGTAATTTGCCTCTAACAGCAGATTATTCAACTCAACCCACCCCCTCTCATGGGTTTTGTTCTATACTGAAGGGAAGTGTAGTAGAGATTTAAAGAATAGGATAAGGACAGTATTTTGTGCATTTCCTCACTTCCCCAAAACTTAAGATTGTGAAGTCTCCAATGTTCCTGTAGGGAGGAAAGGGGCTTTAAGTCTCATGATTGTGTTCAGTTCAATACTATTTTATCTGAGTGCCTCCTATAAGCCAGGTACTGTGGGAAATACAAGATGAATAAAAGGCAGGTCTGTAGTACAAAGGAGCTCACAATCATGAAAATAACTTGACGAATTATACTTATTCTCCTGTCCCTGAAGAGGGGTTTGGTACTGGAGAGGGAGCCATACAGGAACTTTATTTCAGCTGAATAAAAACTTGGTCCGGGCCGGCCGAGTGGCGCGATGGTTAAGAACTCGCTTGGGATGCCAGAGGGCCCCGGTTCGGATCCCACATATGAGGGCCAGTAACACTGCCCTCCACAGCTAAGATGCTGAACGACAGCTCAACCTGGAGCTGGGCTGCCCTGAGTCGCCGGCGACGGCGTGGGCTGCTGTCCCTGTGGCAGTGGATTGCCATGGGCTACCATGGGCTACCGTGTGTGGCCAGCAGCCAGCGTGAGCGGCCAGCAGCCGCAGTGAGCGGCCGTCTAGAAGCCGGCAACTGATCTGCCTCACCAGAGAAGAGCGCAATGATGGTGCCAACTTGGCCAGTGAAGCAACATCCTCCACAACTAGATTGAAGAACAAAACGACAGCAACTTGTCTGTTCCCCTTTCCCCAATTCCCCAGCACTGTTCCCATCCCCCCAATTCCCCAATAAAAATCTTTAAAAAAAAAAACACACAAAAAAAACTTGGTCCTAATCCAGTGGATTTCTTAGGGAAAAAACCAAAGATCTAGATTTCAACAGGATACTAAAGCACTCACAGACCTTCACCAAAGCCCAAAGGGCAATCTCTGAAATAATCTATCCTCTCTTAATAAGGCATCATTGTAATAACTGCTCTGTCCAGAGAATCGGATAAGAAACTGCAGTATCTATTTGAGAGCCTAAAATTACTTCTGGCTCTTCATTTCCATTGTTATTTCAATTTGACCTACTCTTTAATTATTCTTAAGCCCTACCTGGGTTTTCCAGGAATTTTTTCTCAAGATGTATAGCCCGCCTTTGCAACTCCTCTGGCTCTACGGGTACATGCCGGCTCCAGAGATAATTGGTCAGTGCTTGCACCTGCTTCTCCACATTGGGCATCGAGTTCTCTATGCGCCAAAGATGAAAAGCGGCATCAGCTGCATGAAGGCCCAGTCTCCGCTTGTTCTCGAGTCTCCCTTTCCTACCGTTACTCACCGAGCAACAGTAACTGCGCAGTGTCAGCCAGTGCTTGAGGCAGCCGCACCCGTGGCAGCTGCCGGATGCCGGGGTGCCGGCGATGCGGCCTCTTCCCCAGAAAGTCGGAATTGTTATCCACTTGGGATACGCCAGGCACAAGGGCAGCGAGAGCCTGCAAGCCGGGAAAGAAAAGCTGACCGTCGGGCAGAAGAGAAGGTTGCGGACGCTCGCTATGGGAGGGGCTGCCGAGAGCGCTCCTCGGAGCGGAGCTGTTTCAGAGATCCAGAGTCTCTCCGAAAGCAGGGACCGTAGGCACTCACCCGGGACTGGGGAGCTACACGAAGGCCAAGACGCCATCTGCCTAATGTCAAAAGATACCTCGGTCCGCTCGTGGTCGCCATGGCGCCAGAGGCGAACCGGAAGCGGAAGTATAGGTGCCTGTGACCCTCCGTCTCATTCGCCCGGGCGAATATGGAAAGTCGGCATGGGGCAGTGTCAGCCAATAAGGAGAGCGAGTCCATGCTAGTGGCCAATAAACAATCGATATGTAAATCACCTTGACGGGTAAGAGTGCGTGGGTGGGACTTGGACGTCGGCACGAACATAACCAGACGGAAGCGAAGTGATCTCGAGGCGTTTTTGGGACTTGTCTCGGTGTTCGAAAATCCGGGAGGCCCTTTCCTGGGTCTTTAGGAACGCCCTGTAGACTGGCAGGCTGTTTTCTGGATGTGTTAACTTCCTGCGTTCTCTTGATTTTCCTTCTCTCTGGAGAATTCTGAAGTCTTGGGTTTTTTTTTTTTATCCCTGTGCGAAAAGGGGGAAAATGCAGTAACGGAAAGAGGAGATAAAAGCCACATTTAGGCCCCCGAAGAGAACAGTAATGAATAGATTTAATGTTTTTTACATTTTAGTTTCTCTTCATATTAAACCGGTCTTCTTAGACAAATAGCTAACACACAGAATGCCAGATACTGTGGCACTTTCACGTAATATTAGTTCATGTAGTCCCCACAGTCCTCTGAGATAGATGGTTGTTAACTCTATTTTGCAGCTGAGGAAAGCTGAGTCTTCAGATGGTTAAATACTATGCCCAAGATCACAAAGCTTGCAGGGTGAAAACTAGATTCAAACCTAGGCAGTCTAAGTCAGCTTCACCTTTAAACATACGCCCTACCACGTATTGTTGGTATTTGGAATGCAAGTTAGCAAACTAAGAATATGCTAAATGTTACGAAGTGTTAACATTTAGCATTAGAATGAACTCACTTTATTCCTATAGCAAACACATTAGTCAGCTATGGTGTAGCTTAATCTGGTGACTAGATGGGTAAACAAACATATTGCCTGTGCTGTAACTACGAGAGTCCATGTATGTTAAGTAATGGGTAAAATACGGGGGACTATATTAGTTGGAGAGTTAAATGTCTGGTTTGTATTTAGGTTATTAAGCTTTGATTCTAATAAAGGAGGCCTTTGCTTTATAGTCCAAATGCTCTGGAAGGAGACTTGAGGGTTGCTTAGGACAACTGTTGTAAATTCCCCACTCACTGCTCTTCTCCCTTTCAGGTTCACCACTTTCTCCTGCCCCCCCCCCCCCTTTGATTCACACTGCCACACAGCCTCATTCATCTCTGTGACACTCTGCTTTTACTTTAAATTACTGCCTCAAGCACAGTCATCCCAAAGTATACACGGGGGATAGATTCCAGGACCCTGTGGATACCAAAATCTGGATGCTCAAGTCCCTTATATAAAAATGATGTAGTATTTGTATATAACCTAGGTGCATTCTCCTATATACTTTAAATTATCTCTAGATTACTTATAATAGCTCATACAATGTAAATACTATGTAGATATTTACTATACTGTATTGTTTAGGGATTAACTTTCTGGTTTCTTTTTTTTTTTTTTAATATTTTTGATCCCTGGTTGGTTGAACCTGCAGATATAGAACCCACAGATGTGGAGGACTGACAGTATTAGCAAAATAAAATATTCCTGTCACTGCAGGTTAGCTGGAACATAAGATTGGCTATGTTATTTTTTTGTCATAGGGAGGTAACAGAACATAAGGATAAGATACTTGGCATCTGGAATCCAGTAGTCTGGATTTGAGTTCTAGAGCAGCAAGATAATAGTTGCTATCTTACAGGGTTGTTGGAGTGAGGACTCAGTGAGATAGTGTTTGGCTCAAAGTAATCACTCAATGTTTATGATATTATTATATGTATTATCACATGTATTTTTGGAAATTGAAGACATAATCACATTTTTATTTTTATTATGAATTCATGTCTTATTTCCAAGACAGATTTGAAACTGGGGCTATATGGGACCAAGTAAGACTGAGTACTGGAGACTAAGAAGTAAGGAGCAGGAAAACTTGGTCGTGCCTCTAAATATCCCTCTTGGTTTTTTGTTTTTTTTTTTAAATTGAACTGCCAGCATAGATGTGGTTTGCTTCATTCTGACACTAGTCTAACTGAGATTGTTCCCTTCCTTCAATGATGCATCTCAAAAGCTGACTTAGACCTAAATTTATGTCTTTGTTCTTAATCCAAAGTATTGTTCATAAAAAAGAAAACAAAACAAGACCTCCATACCACCTTCCTCATGAATCAAGGATGTCCATAAGACATCTAAAACAGCGAACACGATTCTTTGTACATTGAAAGCACTTAATAAATATTTGTTAATGATGTTGATTAAATGACCACTCTTTATTTCCATGCTTGGAAAAGCCTAGGATAGACTAGGTTGAGGATCCAAGTCTAATTATTTGACCGGGTCACAATCCCCTAAAGCACAGATGAACCCATTTCATACCTAATCCATGAATTCTGCCATATCAACTCTGGTCATACCTTGACCTAGGTAGTATTTCCAATTATTGGCTTTGCATTAAAAAAACCCCCCACAGATGTCAATGGGGAGAAACTAGACAGTATTAAAGAGAAATACCCCATCTCCAAGTTAAGCAAAGGAAAATAAAAAAGATTCTCTGAGGAAGGCTTGGATAATTTGGTTAGAGATTGATAATGAGAAGATCAACTGGTCTTCTCCACTGGGTTTATGAAAAAGGGAAGTAGCTAATAATTAGATTTAGAGAAACCCTTAACAATGAAGGTGTGAAGCAGCTGGAATAAGTTTATTGGGAAATTAAAGAAATTTTGCCATAAAGTTCCCAAATAATACCTTTTTAAAAAATCTCTTATTTCTTTTTGCTGTTTTTAAAATCTTTCATTCTCTTAAACCATCATTTGTTGTATTCATTTACTTCTAGATTTGTCTTTATCTTTTAAATGATTTTTACTTTTATTTTTAACTTTTCCTATGTCACGTTTTTTCTGATTTTTTTCCCCAAATTTTGATACATATTGTTCTTTCATGTCTTGGATTATTTTCTCAGATTATTTGAAATCATGGGTTACAGTTTTAATCTGTTTTGTGGACCTATCTGTATTAGTTTAGGCTCTCAGTGAAGCAGACATTAAAGATGGGATTAGATTTGTAAGTGATTTATTGGGAGAAATACCTATGAGGTGATAAGGGAGAGGAAACCAAAAGAGTCAGGAAGAGTCAGACTGTAATGAGGGAGGCAAGGCAAATGGATTGGTATGAACAGTTCTAAAAAAGTTTCAGCCAGGCTGATGGAGAATCTTTGAGCCCAAGGTAGCCATCAGAGGAGTCTTGCATCTTGTAGAAATGGGCCTGACTTAGCATCAATGCTGCACTCAGTCTTTGTTTGAGTGGCCCATGGGAAGCATAGCAGATTCAGCGTGTGGCAATTGGGGCCATTGGTCAATTGTGATTCCCATGAGGTCTGAGTAGTGCATTTTCATAGCTTCTCTAAAGCCGCACAGATCCACTTCTCCAGATCTACTTCTTCAGATAGGTTCAAGGGACAGTTCCTTCAAGTTTTGTACACACTTTTGGGGATTCAGCAGGCCAACAACTACAAGAATAAAGGATATGTGTTTTATTTTGAGTAAAAACTTAAGATTAAATGTAAAACCCTTAGGTTCAGGATTTCAAAGTGTAGGCAATACTGAGTGAAAATGTCTATCACACACACACACACACGCATTTGATTAATGCAACATTTATTTCTGTTAGTTAGCTGAGCAGGGAGCAAGTGAGTGTGTAGAGTAGAGCAATAGGGACAGAAACACACCAACTTAACAGGAACAGTCAGTATGTCTGTGCCAGGCTACTGCTGATGCCCAGGGGCTGATGCCCATCAGTGACCTCCACCTGCAGGATTTTCTTCCCCATTTCTGCACAAAGAAGTTGGAGTGCCCTCAAAGACTGGAGGTCATGGTCTGCAGAAAACCCAATTCAGCTTTCCCAGTAGAAGTGCAGGGAGACTGGTGCTCGATGCTCAAGGTTCGGTGATGGTGTGGCTGCTCAGACTTTTGTGCTAAAAGTCTTACCAGAGGTTGAGGATGACTGCAGCTAGGAGCCTGAGACTAGATCCTCATCAGCTCTTCCAGGCTTCCTCCCCAAAACAACCAACATGTTTGCATTACTCATTTTTCAGATAGAAACACAAATCTACTTTTAAAATGGTCTCGAAAACATGTTTAAAAACCAGATTTAAATAAACATGTTTATGAGATATTTTTAAAGGAACAATATGTTTATAATTTGACAAGGTGAGGTGAAAACCCTCTGTCAAAACAAACTTACTTCAGGAGGAGACATCCTTTAAAAATACTTAAACCACAGAAATCACAGTATGTATCCAATGTTAGTGGCCTGGCTTCCCTCTGATTTATCTCCATGTGCCTTAGAGCTGTAAGCAGTTTCCTATCATGACTCAGTCTTTGCATCGAGGACCACAACCTGGGCTAGCCAGATTCCTTCCAGGAAACTGCGTTTCCATTCCTGGCTCCCTGTCCCCAACCTAAAGGAAACCTGGGTGATGGAATGTGAGTGGCTTACAGCAGAGCTTCGCCAATAGGAGAAAAAGAAAGCGATTTGTAGTCCCTTCTGACCGGACCTGCAACAACTTCTCTGCACCCGAGGCCACCACTTACTGAGTCAACTGGGCTGTCATCTCTGAAATCTGGCAGAAAGTGAAAATGATGACTATTTTTAAAAAATAGGCAAAGGAAACTTCTGGAACAGTACATCTATTTTGTTTAGGTTCGTTCACCTTGAGAAAAGTTTTAGAAGAATGAAATTGTCAGTAGGAGAAGTCAAGCAAACACATCGAAAGTCTCATAAGTCTGGGTTGTTCTTGCTCCATCCTGTACTTTCAGTTTTTCATCTGTAAAATACCAACAGCCATTTAGGCTGGTCCAGATACCCTTCAGTGGGTTGATAAATAAGGGCCTTTGGTTAAAAGACCATGCATTTTTGTTTCACCAACAGTGATATGTGTTGTTAATATTCTAAATTAAAACAAAGAACA